GAATAAAAATAAATGAAATATTAATTTTAAATATTTATTTTAAGGATAAATATGTCCATTTAACATTTTAGAGGGAAAAAGAGCCACTTAAATAATTCAGAGGGAAAAAGTACTATAAGTATATAGTTTAGAGGGAAAAAGTGCCATTTTCCCTTTTTAAAATGTATTGTTTTGTTATGTTTCTTATTCAAAGGGCATTTTGGTCTTCTAGTTCTCCTCACGTAGCGACAAATCAGTATTGGAATCCTAATCCACGTTGGTTCTTCTTTCGTCCGTGCATTCCAGAGCTCATGCCGGCGATTCTAATCAAAGCGAATTTCGGTGTAGCAATGGCGAAGGGGTCTGATAGTCGCCGGCCGAAAAGGAGTCCATCCATTCTGGCGACGCCCTTTTCCAGGACGGGAGTATCACCTACGACGCATGCATCCGGGTGCCTTTCTGAAGAGTCGAACTTCTCTTCCGGCGTATCGACGGTGGGCTGGCGTGCTGGATGGTAGGGTTTCGAAAAGGTGGCAGTTGGGGCGGCAACTTTCCGAATGTGGTAAGCAATGTTTTCCTATTCCTTGTGTTCTCTCATTGTTTGGGTCTAAAACCAGCGGTGATTTGGGGTTGCTCGTGTCGTTGAGCTTGTGGCGTTCCGTCGGCCCTCGAATTAGGGCTAATATTGTGGCCATAAATTGATGAACGGTAAATTTTGTCTATAGACCTAGTTAGAGCAGAGTGATTTGGCGTAAAATTTCATACCGTAAATCCTTAATTTCTTTGCTATGGGGTGTCTTTAGCCGTATCAGGGGATTTGGTAATTTTCAATTTTAGGCATTTTATAATTCAATGTGGGTCTTGGGGCCATAAAATTCTGGGCGATATATTCTTGAAGGGTTCACTACAAGAAAAATGCACATAGACAACACTAGAAAGACAACAGTTTTTAAGAAAAGTGTTGTCTTTTGTATAAAAGACAACAGTTTGGTCCAAAACCGTTGTCTTTGATGCAACACTTTTGTCAAAGACAACGGTTTTTACTTAACCGTTGTTATAAGTGTGTTGTCTTTGTGCATTTTGTGAAAAGACAACACCACAACGACAACGGATTTTTAAAACTGTTATCTATGTGCGTTTTTTTTTTTAAAAAGACAACGGTTTTTTTAACCGTTGTCGTTGGTGTGTTGTCTTTAAGAGCATTAGAATACACAACACTAGAAAGACATCGGTTGTTTAAAACCGTTGTCTTTGTGCGCTCTTTTTTTTTTAAAAAAGACAACGGTTTTATTTAACCGTTGTCGTTGGTGTGTTGTCTTTAAGCGCACTAGAATACACAACGCTACAAAGACAACGGTTTTTTTAAACCGTTGTCTTTGCGCATTATTATTTTTTAAAAGACAACGGTTTTATTTAACTGTTGTCATTTATGTGTTGTCTTTAATAGCACTTGAATACACAACACTACAACGACAACAGTTTTATATAACCGTTGTCGTTGCGCGTTCTTTATTTGTTTAAGACAATAGTTTTATTTAACCGTTGTCTTTGGTATGTTGTCTTTAAGCGTATTTGAACACACAACACTACAAAGACAACAGTTATAAAAAATCGTTGTCTTTGCGCAATATTATTTTATAAAAGACAACGGTTTTATTTAACCGTTGTCATTTATGTGTTGTCTTTAATAGCACTTGAATACACAACACTACAACGACAACGGTTTTATATAACCGTTGTCGTTGCGCGTTCTTTATTTGTTTAAGACAACGGTTTTATTTAACCATTGTCAACCGTTGTCGTTGCGCGTTCTTTATTTGTTTAAGACAACGGTTTTATTTAACCATTGTCTTTGGTATGTTGTCTTTAAGCGTATTTGAATACACAACACTACAAATACAACGGTTATAAAAATCGTTGTCTTTGCACATCATTATTTAATGAGTTGTATAAAGCAAAGATAAGAATGTTAATAACAAGAGTTGAACCTTTAACCTCAAACTTAACAAATAAGGTTTAACCAACTAAGCAACATAAACTCTTGTGTTTAAATGTGCAACATTTAGTATATAACTGGGTTGCTTCTGTGTTGTTTGTGAAAACCAAGACAACAATTTTAGAAAATAATTAAAGGATCCCTTAGGAAGAATAGAACCCAAGACCTCTAACATAATAAACTAAGTTAAACCGACCAAACCAAATCAACACTTATGTACTCAAGTAAACTAATATATATACTTGATATAACCAATTTTCTTATGTGTTGTCTTTGAGACCCAAGACAATGATTGTATAAAATAGGTTAAGGATGCCACCACAAAAGATAGAACCCAAGACCTTTAACATAACAAACAAAGCCAAATCCACCAAACCACACCAACTCTTGTGTACTAAAGTGTTACACCTTATCTTTTAGCTATTATATCCTGAGTGTTAACAAGAATAAAAATGTAATTAAAATTTGTTGTCCAAATATATTGCATAAAAATTTAACAAATAAAGAATACAATTCAAAAGTTAATTTAATAGTTATATTTTCGTTCATATTTAAATATAAAATTATTCACCAAAATTTCAAAGTCAATTCATTAAAGTTTTATTTTCATATTATAATTAAGACCAATCTATGAATTCAAAAAAAAAAAATAAAAATATCAAGTATAAAAAACAATAGATTATATCTATAATATTTTTTTAAAAAAATTTGGGCACCCAAAATTGAGACACGTGGAGAATGAATATGAAAGAGTAGTTGATCGATGCCGTACAGTTAGCTATCACAAATTATGTCGTACATTGATCAAAGTCCACCAACGGCACCGTTACCGTGTCCACACTACAGTGTGGACACGGGTCCATAGCATAACGATTGGTTAGCTATATCCCATTTCTTTTGCCATGATCTTAGCTTTGTAATATAATTGGGCCGCGAGTTGTCGGTAATAAACCTCGGGGTATTAAAGGGCAAATTATGCTGTGCAACTGTTCTATGTTCATAATAGCTGAACAATGCATTGTGAACACGAGTCCAAAACGTACGACGTCGTTTTCACAAAATTATATGTTCATAATTTGATAACTATACAGTTTAGAAATTATGAATCAACAATACAGAAATTATGAATCTGTAGTATAGAAATTATGAATCTACTACATAGAAATTATGAATCTACTGTATTTAAATTATGAATCTACTGTATTTAAATTATGAATCTACGATTTAGAAATTATGAATCTACGCTTTAGAAATTATGAATCTAGAGTAAAGATTTTATGAATCTACAGTATAGAAATCTGTGAATCTCGCGTTCTGTACCTATATACCCGGTACTATTTTAATTGGGTCTAGTGACCCGGGTAATAAAACTAATATTTTCTTACCCTGTTCTATATCTATATTGTCCGGTTTAATTGGGTCTAGCGTTCCGGATGCCGCGAAAAATTTATTATTATTTTATTAGAGAGCGCGAAAAATCAACCCAAAATTTAGCCCTACCCGCCCAAACTTAGAAAATTTTCATTTCGCCCAATTTTATTCCTCGATCAAGAGAGTTCTACCCCCAATATTCCAAAATTTCATTTCGCCGATCAGGAGAGTTCTTCACTGCCATCCCTCTGCCGACGACGACAACCAACAGCCATCGCCTCAGCCTTAGCCACACTCGCCGCCGCCCTTCCTCTCGCCCTCTCATTTCCGAGACCTCCGGCCGCCGCTCTTCCTTCGCCGACGACGACGGCCGACAGCCACAGCCTCAGCCTCAGTCACACTCGCCGCCGCTGCTCTTCCTTCTACAGCTCTCTGTTAAGTGCACAGGCCTCATTGTAAGTCTAATCTTGCTTGTCTTTCTATTTTTTTTTCATTCCAGTCTAATCTTCCTTCTATACAGCTCTGTTATATGCATGCTATTTAGGTTTCACTCTTTGTGGTTAAAGAAAAGGTCTCAATTTCTTTAAAAGATTCGTTTGTGTGAATTGTTGTTGCTTTGATTTGCTTTTGAATTTTGCATTTGGATAAAATCTGGGCTAGTCTCATATTGTTTTAATCTGCTTTAATTTTTAAGGTTTTGCTTCTGTTTTTGCAATGATGAACAAGATTAATTCATATTTCTTAAGCAAATTTATTATATGTGTGTTAAAAGATCTTCTATTATGTGATGTTAATTAGGCTGCATTGATTGTATGGAAATTGTTATGTTGTGGAACCGTATCCACCTTGCAAGGTGGGCATGGTTCCACAGCATAATTTGCCGAGATGATAGGAAAAGGGATTCCCCCGAATACCATCACTTATGCTCCCTTAATTAATGGTGTCTGTCTGGATAATAGGATTGTGGAGGCTGTAGAACTATTTAGAAAGTTGGTGAGGGAGAATGTGTGCAAAATTAATCAAGTTATGTGGCATTCTTATAACTGGGCTTTGCAACATGGGTCAACAAGCTTGTTGGATATGATACTATTCTGATTAATAGTTTGTTGAGTTCTCCGGGTCAATGTATTAAGTAGTTCTCTATATCTCATTTTACAGTTATTGCATACAGGACAAAATATGACGCAGCTTTTTGTGCTTTCCTCTTCAAACCTTGTGTTCTCCTTTCGTTGTACCCTAGAATAGTCACATCATTACATATGCAACAGGTTGACATGCATTATTCTGAATGCACATTTTATTTTTATTTCTGTAGTGCAATTCCTTAACACTTCTTTATGGTCCCTTTTCTGCAGTTTTGCCTCAGGCTTTCACAATTTCTGACATGCATTACTAGCCATTACTTATTTGGTTTTATGATTTTGCTTGGGAATTAGTGTTCCTATTAAAATGAGCCACATCTCATGCTCATTTTGAATTTGATTTTTTTTTTTTAAAAAAAAAGTACTTATTATGAAGAGTATATGGTATATGTTGCATATGGTTCATATTGTTTTTTCCATGATTCTGATGGTTATTTGGAACTTGCATGCAGGCTATCTTTATAATCACCAAACAAAGGAGTTCTTTAATCTTACTTATGCACATGAGTAACTTGAAAGAGATGGTTTGTTACTTGAAAGAGAACTTCAAGTTCTGAGGTAAATAAACAAGCTAAGTTCTGAGGATTCTCACTACCAAACCAATCATTGCATGTCTAGTATTATGCTTTCCTTACTTAGTGAAACACTTTGCATGTTTAAGGAAAAGTTGAAATGGATACACGAATGGGAGCTGCTCCTGCACCAAATCAAGTTCTGGTGAGTTCAGGTAATTGCATTTTCTTGATATTCAACTTAGTTTAATCATGCATATAGTGGAGTCTTGTTGATACGTTCGTTTCTTGTGCTTTAGTGAAATTATGCCTCGGATTAAAGATTTAAAGCTAAAAAAAATAGCTTTCTCCTTCTTTCTTTACTTGAGTTTCAAGTTCAATGTTGGAAAAGTTGTAAACCTTTAGTTCTAATAAAATGCTCTAAATGTTATTCTGTGGTGAGGGAGTCTACATTATATTAGTATTTGAATCCTTGTTGTGCTTGCATCATTTGAAAATTTATGAGTCTGTGAGTGGAACACAAGTCATATGAGTGTTTGTAGGGAAGTTTGTCATTGTCTTGGAATGGTAGTCTATAGCAGGCACTCATATATACAGCCATACAGGATGAGCTCATACCTCCTATGAGGTTGTTGTCATGGAAATTGTCACTGCAAAGATGGACATTCATAATGGGTGTCCAAATCTGCATTCAATATAAATAGGACACAAGCTGATTGAATGATTTAGTGGTGATGCAGTTGTACATTATATGCCTTGTAAAATGAACTGTTTGATTTTTCCTCATGTCCACTTAATTGCTGGTGGATGAATAATTTTGATATGAAGTTACAGCATTCCCATATGTTAGCTTGGATTGAGATAAATGAACTATTTCTAGAGAAGTATTTTCTAGATTTAGTTAGCTTTCCCAGAAGGTGGACCATAATATCAAACAAATTGTCAGATGCTTTGTTGAAGTATTCAGATGCTTTCTATTCTACAAACTGCAGGCGCTCATTTCTAGAGCAGAAGTTGGCAAGCTTAGATTTGCCAAAGTAGGAGCAAAAGGTTCTTCTCAAGGACTTGGAACGTAAAGAGACAGAATATATACGTTTCCAAGTATGTTTAGATTATCTTTTTAGATTTAAATATATTATGCACCTATAAGTTCAATAAATAAATTTTTTTTTTAGCCATTAGCATTATATTTCTTGCAAAAATGGTTGCTAAAGTACATATAAACAACACTCAACTTTACATATTAAAAAACATGTTTACCTCGTAGATATACTTTTCCCAACCAACCCTTATTTCTTCACTATGTAAAGTTGATTGTTGTGTATTTATGTTTTTGATCAACTATAATTGATCCTTAACTTTATCATCAGTTCTCAAACTTTTCCCTTTGAATTACCTAATTTTCAGTTTTGTGTTCCTATTTGAGGCTATACTTTGCAATTCATTAGGCTCTTGAACCTTTCACCATTGGCTCTTGGACCATTTTAATCATTTGGAAATTTCACCAAGGGCTTTATATACAAGGCTGCTTGACAACTGCTCTTCTGGCAAGTCTGATTTTGTATGGCAAATTTGTGTTTCTTTAAATGTTCTTCTCTTCTTTTGTGAAACCACCCTCATCCTCTTAATCTTTAAAGTGATCAAACTCCTTAATGAACTAGTAAAGGCTTGTCCCATATTAGAGAAATATTGTAAGCTCTAATAGTCTAATTACCTCATCTTACCATAGCTGGTTTTCCATACGGATATGATGAATTCAATGTTTCCCAGGCTAACTTTTTTGAAAGTTCTGTTGATACAGATTGTTATTGCATTTCCTTATCGGAGGAATGGCGAAATTGTAAGCTGCAAATACCGGGATATAAACAAAAGAAAAAGATTTTGGCAGGTGCTTGTCAATACCATTTCTTTAGCTAAGAAACACATTGATTTTAAAGCTTGATATAGTGCTACAGTTTATTTTCTAAACTCCACTAGCTGCATTCACACATTATTCATATTATGATTATTATCCACATTTATTGATTCAACCCTTATTGTGTCTTATCTATAAGGCTAACCTCTTCACCTTTGAGTTGGGGAAATTCCCTCTTAATTCTTAAATGATAAAAAGTGGTGACTACTATTCAGATTTTTCATTTTAAGATTTTCTTCTATTTATTGTTCTTGATGCTTTTGATTCTAAACTATGAATATCATTTGCTTTTTATTTTGTTTTTTGGCACAGTGTTACGTTACTAATCTCTTATTGTTGTGCCATTGTTACTTTTAGGAAAGTGACACTGAAAGGATATTGTATGGATTGGATGATATAACGGGAGCAAGTGATATAATTAGTGTAATCTCAAGTCTCTTAAATTTTCCTCTTTATAGAAGCACTTTAGGATTGTGCTCTTTATAAATGCCTACTCTTTTATTGCAGATTGAGGGTGACAAAGCAATTATTGATCTGGTGCGTTCTGAATGGGCCGATATTCTATGAAGTTATTAGAGTAGGTATGATTTGATCATTAGAACGTTGTGATCATTTAGACTTGGTTCGTGGAATTGTTTTTTGTAGTATTATGACTTGGATGATATATGATTCGATTAGAATTGGTCATGGAAGTATTTAGACTTGTTATTTTGAACCTTAGCTTGTGCAAAATTATGTAACTACACTTGGCCATGGTGAATGGATAAATTGATTTTTTATATGATTAAAATTTAAGCAGGTTAAAAACGGTTAAAAACCGTTGTCTATTTTACAATAGACAACAGTTTGAAACTGTTGTCTTTTGTACAATAGACAACAGTTGAAACTGTTGTATTTTCTACAAAACACAACAGTTTATGGGCGTGACTTTTAACAACAGCGATTTCAACAACACACAATAGACAACAGTTAAAAACCGTTGTCTATGTGCATCACTTTTAACAACATCGGTTTCAACAACATTGAATAGACAACGGGTCAAAAACCGTTGTCGTTGGTAGAAAAGACAACGGTTAATAACCGTTGTCTATGTGCGTGACTTTTAACAACACCGATTTCAACAACACTTAATAGACAACGGTTAAAAAACCGTTGTCGTTGGTAGAAAAGACAACGGTTAATAACCGTTGTCTATGTGCGTGACTTTTAACAACACCGGTTTCAACAACACTTAATAGACAACGGTTAAAAAACCGTTGTCGTTGGTAGAAAAGACAACGGTTAATAACCGTTGTCTATGTGCGTGACTTTTAACAACACCGGTTTCAACAACACTTAATAGACAACGGTTAAAAAACCGTTGTCGTTTCTAGAAAAGACAACGGTTATTAACCGTTGTCTATGTGCGTGACTTACAACAACACCGGCTTCAACAACACTTAATAGACAGCGGTTAAAAAACCGTTGTTGTTTCTAGAAAAGACAACGGTTAAAAAACCGTTGTCTATGCGCGGGACTTACAACAACACCGGCTTCAACAACAGAAATTATACCCCTACGACAACGGTTATTAACCGTTGTTTATGTGCATTTTTCTTGTAGTGGTTAGTGTGTAGGCATTCTAGTAGTGTTTTGCAGTAGTATTAGTAAGGGTGTGCATCTAATGTGCTAATGCTAGATGTCTTGATTCTTGAATACACAAGCTAGGTACATAGAAGTGTTAATAGTGCTGAAACATATAAAATATTCTGCATACTACTGGGCGTTTGGTTGGAGAGGGGGAATTACGTGGGAAAGAAATTGCAATTCAATGGGAGATGAATTACTGGGAATTACTGGGAATAAATTCCAGCATTTGGTTGAATAGAATTAATGGGAATTTTAATTCTAATGTTTGGTATATATGAGAATTGAAAGGGAATAAGTAGTATAAAGTAAAAAATGTCCATTGTTGTTGTTAGGCATTAATTTTAGGTTAAAAAATGAAGGGGTAATTTTGACTCATCACTATCTTTTTTTCTTCCTAAAATCCCAGGAATTAAAATCACAGGGGGACATGGGATTTTAATTCCATGAAAATGGGGGAATTGCAATTTCATAGAATTGCAATTCCTTTCAACCAAACAAGGAAATTTTGTGGCCTTTGGAATTAGGTGGGAATTAAGTTGGAAGGAAATTTAAATTCCCTTCAACCAAACGCCATGCTAGTGTGCATTATCTAGTTCTTAAAGGTTGACAATCTCAGGTATATGCCATCATGAGAAACATACAAGTTTCCTCTTTCTTTTTTTCTTTTTTTTTTTTAATAAGTACTTGGGTGTATGATTGAGAAAATACTTAGCGTATGATTCTATTATTTGAATTTGATTCTTGCAGATCACTACTTCCTCTTTGATCTCTCGAGTCAGGTGGAGGCTTGGAGCTATTTTTCCTTCACTCAAATGCCAAAGCAGTGATCATGAAACTCATTAAGAACGTAAATCTCATGGTATAGTTAGGCCTTTCAAATGATATTTCATCTATTTCATCTTTCAACATTCACTTGGATTCATTGTATATACGTGAGGCAAAATCACTCCCTTTCTTAAGAGTTTTATCTTTAATGCAGTTGACAACAGTACATTTAGTTGATGCACATTTATGTAGTGATCCTAGAAAGTATGTGAGTGCATTGCTTTTTCCTATATCAACCATGCTACTATGGTAAGCTGATGGAAATATTAGAAACTGAGTATACTGCTTTACCAATTAAACACATTGTCTTGTTCAAATGTTAATGGTTCAATCCAACTCCTAATGTTGTAGTTAAGGTGCATAACAAGTATACTTTGGTTGAAATAAATTACCGAAAAAGGTTTAATAGACGTGGGGGTATTTTAGATGGAGTTGTCTAATCTACGCATACCACAGGATCAACATCTCATTCCAAAGTTACCATTCAACTTGTAAGTTCATTCGAATTGTTTAAGTTATAAGTGATTATGTTTGGATTGTTTGAATTATGCGTTATTGTGTTGGTAGAAACTTTTATTGAGATTATTGACTTTATTGTGATTTTATTTTATTGTGCCTATTGAGTTGATGTTTGAGATGTTTACATTATTTATTAAGCAAGGAAACTATGCTGATTTTTTTTTTATCGGAATTTTGTCTATTTTATATTATAATTATGTGCTATTGTG